GAAGAGCCGCGGTATCATCGTCATCACTCTCCTCTTCAAAATCCTCATCTTCTTCCTGCGACAGATAGAGGGGACCCAGGATACCAGGAAGGAAGTAGACATTATCCACCTTTCTCACAGTAACTACACTCACCAAGTCTTTGGAACAGAATTAATTTTCCCAATGGAAAAGCAAATGTACTGAAATATCATAATTAAAACCAACAACCAATAAAAAATAAAACCCAACAAAAAATTTATGAATACTTACTAAAATGCCAACCCCTGATAAAGTACCTTTCATAGTTGAGATGGTCAAAAAGGATTTTTTTGCGGGGGAGGGAGGGGGCTCGAAATAGGGTTTCTCTGTGTAACAGCTCTTTCTGTCCTGGAATTTCCTTTGTAGACCAGGCTGGCCTCGAAACCACAAAGATCTGTCTGCCTCTGCCTCCTGAGAGCTGGGATTAAAGGTGTACCACTACCACCAGGCCAAAAAGGATTTTCATATGGAACATTCCAAAATAAGTAATGCTTCAGAATGAAACACAGTATACTGTACAGTATCTCACCTCAAGAGTTCATGTAGCTCAAAATGACTAAGTTAGCAAGTAAGGGTGCTAGGATTCCAAAAGAAAATATTTTGAATGAATAACGGAATTTCACTTAATGTAAGGCTTCTTATTTTAATGACTCTATCAGTCAGCTCTGTAACTGCTGATACATGTATGCAATTAGGTAATACTTAAGAAAAGTCACTCACATATGTTCAGTTATATAGAAAATGGTGAAGTGAAGTTGGGAGTCAGGTGTAGACTACATCTGTAAACCCAGTGCTAGGAGGGTGAAGTAGCCTGAGCTACATACAACAAAAGACTGTAGGGTCCCAGTGAACATTCATGCTCGATCTGTTTAGACTCCTTGCCTCCCTAATCACTAAGGGGCCCATGTGCATTATTTGTCTAAAAAAAGGCATCATATCTAAGGAAAATAAATGGTAGAACAAGGTAGAATGCTCAAAGGCACTGTTCATAGGGCACTCAGTCAGAGTGTTCTGTGAAGTTACAGAAAGGCAGCTTAACCTTCTATATGACTGACAATTCAGTCACAGGTGGGCACGTCCTTTTTCATAGACTGCTTCCACATAGCCCTCCAAACTAAACCTGTAGCAAAAGTCTTTGACAATGAAGAATACTTTCTATTTCTATTTAGAAACAATTATTAAGTTTAAAGTTAAGGTTAATAATATATTTCAGTAACAGTAGTTAAAAAAATACTGATCATTTTACAAAGTTAAAATATAAAAAAAATATATAATATATATAAAGAAAATATGATAAGCCGGGCCCAATGGCAGAGGCCCATTTCCAGTACTTAGGAGGCTTAAAAAAACAAACAAACCCCAAACCCCAAACTCAGACACATACATCTGTGAGAGGATCATCAGCATCAAGGTTGGCAGCAGGAATCTGGTCTAAGCGGGGCTTCTTTGACACTGAAGAGGAAGTTGTATGTTCTGAAGAAAACAAACATTTAGCTTAATGAAATAAATACTGCATTTAAAATAACATTCTAGAAACTTTTGGGCAAAAGGAACCCACACAAAGCATAGTGACAGCAGGAATTCACCCAGTGACTGGCACCTAAGTCTTTGATAAATATTTGTTAGTAAACATTAAATGAATTAATGAGATATGAGGATCATAGCATCTCAGGAAATTTAGCCAATGTTCACACACGCTAGAAACACAAGGAAACGTAACTGATGCTTCTCTCAATACTCTCCAATTACCTGGGGAGTAAATAAAATGGGGTGCTCTAGAGAGAAGACCTTGGTTCCAGCTGCTGTAAGGCCAAGTCTATTGACAAGAACTGAGTGACGGCCTCTAAGCACCTCCAGACCACCACTTCTTCTAATAGGAAAGCATGAGAAGGTGGGATCGGAATGAACCTCATTACCCCTAATCATTTATCAACTAGTGCACAAAAATGTTATTTCCAATCATCAAGATACAGACAATTTCCACCACACAGTTTTGAGACAAGCACTTGGGACAGTGTAGGTACCTCGGGTTGGACGGTCCCTATTTTTTTCCCTTGCAGCAGCTCGCTCTCTCTCTTCCAACTCTCTCCTAAAGTCACGGTTGCGAACCTCTTCGGGAGCATCCTGTGTAGTTTGTCTTAAGTAGGAAGAAACTGGGTCAAAAATTGTTACCCTCACTTGTCAAGGAAAAGAACCTATATGGTTACAGCAATTTAAGACAATTCAGAATGCTACTGTCTCTCAAGCATAAAAGGGAAGAGGACAAGACAATATTCTAATCTGAAGGTTATTAATAGACACTTGTGATGTTTTCAGTATTACTAGAACAAACTGAAGCACACATTTTCTTCCAATATGGCTGCAGAGTGATTGAAATGTCTTTGGCTTTTTAAAATATTGATCAACTTAAGGGCTGTCACAGTAACATTTCCATATTCACTACAGCTTAGTCTACTCTGAGGTGGTTATCCTGAATGAGTGCTTCATGCACACACAGGAATTCCTGGTTAATAGGAATGTCTGCTGAAACAAACTACCATGCACAATTTAATTGTAAACTCCGTTGAATTTCACTTCTTTTCGGATAGGTAATTCAATACAATAACCTAGACACAATCGTCAGTCATGTGGATCTGGTCCTGTTCTGGGAGCAGGACAAACAAGGCCTTGTTACCTGTATTTGATCTTCGTGTGAGAGGGGAGGTCTCTACTTGAATACTGCTTTGAGAGCTGGCTCAGATCTCCTTCTCCTTTCCCCCTTCCGCCTCGTGCAGGTTCAAAAGTCGGTCTGGCTGCTGTTGTCATCTTTTATTCTTGGACAAAAGTGAGTAAATTATATTCAGCAGAACTCTCATTTTAGAAATCATTCATAAATATCTGTCCCTGTGATTAATTCTCAAAACTCTCCCCGAAATTGCTTAAGTAGTTTGCTTCAACACAAATTCCTAAAAATACAGAATTATGGAACTCCAGGTGTACACTAAATGTGTTCTGCCAGGCAGCTCCTATTTAGTATAAAAAACTGATCTGAAGATGTGAGTTTGTGCTGTTGTTCTAGCTGGGTAGCCTTGGGCAAGTCTCCTAGCTTGTTTCTGTCATCTCTGGAATGCTGATGTTTCTACAGTATTATTAGGAGAATTCTGACACATAACGGCAGATCCTGTGCAACAGTGTAATGTGGCTTTTAAAACAAATGTTTTGGTCTCCAAAGCGAGTTTCAGGAAAGGCGCAAAGCTACACAGAGAAACCCTGTCTCGAAAAACCAAAAAAAAACAAAAAAAAAAAACAAAAAAAAAAAACAAATGTTTTAAAAAATTCTTGTTCTTCTACTAGCACTAGATTCTCTTGAGGTTTTGTTGTTATTTGTTTTGAGAGAGGGTCTCACTATTAGCTCTGGCTGACCTGGATCTTTATGTAGATCAGGCTGGCCTAGAACCCGCCAGAAATCTACCCAACTACGCCTCTGGAGTGCTGGAATTAAAGGTGTGCACCACCATGTCTAGCTAAGATTTGCATTTTTATGAGAAAACTCACATAACAGCAAATAGACTAAAAGGAAAACAAAACAAAATAAATTTCTTTTAAAGCCACTGATCACTGACAAACTTGACGGTCTTAGAGTGAGTTTGTTTAAAATCCAATGACCTTTTTTTGTTGTTGTTTTTGGTTTTTGTTTGTTTGTTTGTTTTTTGTGTAAACAGCCCTAGCTGTCCTGGAACTCACAAAGCTCCACCTACCTCTGCCTCCCGAGTGCTGGGATTCAAGGCGTGCGCCACCACCGCCCGATTGTTTAAAACCCAAAGACATTTACATGGGCAACATTATCCAACAATCTTGTTGATTCAATTTTCTTCTACAACAGTTACCCTAACATATATAAGACCTTTAGTAAGCTGTAACTTAAGGAATGCTCAGAAAATCGGAACTCCGCCCAGAGAAACATCAAGAACCCATTCTGAACTGGGTGTAATGGGGTACTCCTGTGATCCCAGGTGCTTGGGAAGTTAAAGCAGGAGAATCAGGAGTTTGAAGCTAGCCTGAGAACCTTGTGCCACTTTCAGCTTTGAGCTGTCAAATAAAAGTTCCGGCCTAACCACAGGTTAGCAGCACGCTCAGACAGACCCTGCGGGGAGTGGGAGTTTCTCCCCATCCCGCCCTCCTGCTTTCCTGTGTCAGCGGCGCCGCGCCCGTGACCGCCCCGGGCTGGGCCGCAGCTCCCGACCGCCGTTCCCGCCCCGCGGCTCGGGCCGTCGTCACGGCGCGCGGCGGCGATCTCGGCTTCCCGGTGCCACCCTCTCCAGGACCACAAACGGCCAAGCCCCGGCTACTCACTCCGGCGGGGGTCCGACGCGGCACCTTCGGAGGCTCACCCACGAACCATCGCAACTCGAAGCTCCCAGGAACCTCTGCGCCGGGGGCGCCAGCCCAAGACCGGAAACAAAATGCGGGCCTTCCAGCTCTCCACCCGGGGCTCAGTAGAGACCCGGAAGCAAAATCTTCGCGCTTCCAACCGCTGCGTCGGAAGCTCGAACTCCACACCCGGAAGCAAATCCGGGTTTTTAACCGTTTCTCAGAGGCTGCTGCAGCGACCAATCCGCAGAGACCCAACAGGAAGTTGTGTGACGTCGTCGAGGGGCGGAGCCAATGCGGCTCAGGGGGCGGGCGTTTGAAATGAGTGCTTTGGAGTCGACCCTAAATATCATCCTGTGTCTTTGAGAACCAATTACTTAATCTCTCTTGCGTCTTTTCCTTCCCCGACCCCCTCCCAGACTCCTTCGCTGCGGCGCTGCGAGGACGGAAGGCGCCGGGGAGTCGGTCCGCGCCTCGCAGGCGTGAGATCTGAGGAGAGCGTGCCAACTGACCCAACGGCTCCTGCTCCTCAGTACACCCCGCAGCCTAGGGACTAGAATTGTCACTTAAGTGGATATGAAGAAGGCGCAAATAAGTGCGGGGGCAGCCACGAGCTTTCCAAAGGTACCATTCCTGCGAAACCACCAGCCTTGGAGGCAGCGGTTACAGTCGCTTTGCTTGTTAAGATATAGAGAGAGATATATAGCTGAATGCATTAAGCGGTGTAGTGTGAGGGGAGATGCCAGGAGTGTTGATGACAGTGAGCATTTAGAGAACAGTGGGCCTGACTGCCAGGAGGAGCATGAGATGGAATTAAGATGGCTTCCCCAACGTTGTCTTGGTGTCCCATCATTGAGAGCTTGAAGGACGGTAGATTAGGTTCTCCAGTTTGTCCCAAGTGGAAGGGTCTCCTAAAACATTTGAACATTTATTTCAGTGCCCTTCAATCCTTCCTTTGGAACTTTTAAATGAAGAAAGAGAATTAGAGAAGAAACCCCCTCCCTGTGAAGTAGAAGGTGCAATGCTTCTTTTTTCTTAGGGAAGGTATATACCTCCCTCAGCCTCACACAACCTAAGAACACTGCCATCATATTAGTGGCTCAAACCCAAAGACCAAGATCCACTTCCTTCACTCTTGACATCCCGTCCACTTGCCATTCTTGTCCAGTATTGTAAAAATTATCCTGAGTTCATTTCCTGACCACAACCCTCACTCAGGCCACTGTGGTTTTCCTCTTGGATTTGTAATTACCTCCAAATGGTCTTTCCTATGGTTTTGCACAGAACGATCGTGTTTTGGGCACTTAGGATAAAATAGCCACGTGTCTTAACTTGATTCTGAGGCTTCTTTACAGTCTGTCTTCCTAGCTTCAGTCAGTCATGGGTACACCACACTCCAGATACACTCAACTGAACATTTCTGTTTCTCAGAGCAAGGCAGGGTTCCATTGTTTCTTTTGAGTTTTGAGACAAGGTCTTGCTGTGTAGCCCAGGCTGACTTTGAACTTAAGCTTTATGTATCCTGACTGACAGTTCTCCTGCCTCAGCCTTCCGAGTGCAGGCATGCATTCTTTTGTTTTTTACAGTCTTGTACTGTGTCCTTTGCCTCTGCCCAAAGACAGCTGTAATGCCATTTTTCAGGTCTTAGCTCACTGCTTTTTCCTCAGTGGGGTTTCCCCTGGCATGCATACTGTGCCCCCATTCCTCCCATGCATAAATTTACAGCACCCAGTTCTATACGTTCATAATAGTGAATATCAGCTGTGTTTACTGTTTGTTTTCATTATGCTATGCACCCTTTTCTTTTTGATCTGAGCCAAAGTATTGAGATTAAGCATCTGTGTGACTCTTAGCTTTGACTCCAGTTCTGTCCTCCCCAGCTATGTACAGTTGGGCAAATTATTTTCCCTTTCATGCTCTCCATCCCTTGTGCAAAGGTAGGGGTAATTCCTTCTGTTACTGTAGTAATTGCATAACTATTTGTAAAGTGCTTATAACTATTTCAGCAAGCAGACTCACTAAACCAATATTGGCTGTTACTAATATTATTGTCTGTCTAATGGTATTAGAACCTAAAATTCCAGAAAAGCAGGGACCCTCTTTATTTACTGGTGTCCTCTGCATATAGAACAGTACATGGTACATAATAGGTGCTGAGTAAGTACTGGTTGAATGAATGAATGACATGTTATAAAATAGAGGAATGAAATTTCAGTGGCAAGATGGTGACAAGAACATGCCTAGTTTTTAATATCCCAGCTGCCTTTATCAACCCCTCAAAAAGTCCATTGAAATGTTGACTTATTAACTAAACACAAGAAAAATTAGTTCACAAAATTAAAAGCATTTGATTAAAATAGTCTGGAAGTATTAGTAAGATAGGTAAAAACAAAAAAAGTTTTTAACTTACTGGACCTAATTCTAAGAAAATGATACCATAAAGCTTTTGACTTTAACAGTGGAAACACTTAGGAAAAAGAAAGGAAGTTGAAAAGATGTCTGTATTAACTAGGGTTCTCCAGAGGGACAGAGCTGATAGAGTGGATATATATTAAAGGAGAGTTTGCTAGATTGGCTTACATGATGCAGTATGAGTGTCCATACTGAGTAGAAACCCAGTCCACAAGGCTACATGTCTCAGCAGTCCCAAACAGTCCCATTGTGATTCTGAATGCCTGAAGGATTCCTTGAGAGCCACTGGTCTTCAGTCCACATTGGAAGACTAAAGAAGATGGATTCTGATGTCAACTAACAATGGTAGCAGCCGGGGAGATGAACTGGACAGGCTGAGGACGGGGAGAGGAACTGGACAGCAAGCTGAGGATGAGGAGATGAACTGGACAAGCTGAGAACGGGGAGAGGAACTGGACAGAAAGATGGAAGGCAAGCAGGCCAAACCCAAGACTTTACCCTAATGCCTTCTTTTGTCTTCTCTATCACTAGAAGGTGCTACTCTTATTTAGGATGGGCCATCCTACTTAAAATAATCTGATCAAGAAAATCCCTTACAGGTGGCCCTGTCAGCTTATCTCTTATTGGATTCCAGGTCCAGTCAAGTTGACAGAATTAGCCATCTTCTTTCCTAAAACCTTTTTTGTTTGTTTGTTTGTTATTGTTTTTCGAGACAGGGTTTCTCTGTGTAGCTTTGGTGCCTTTCCTGAAACTCACTCGTAGCCCAGGCTTGGCTTCGAACTCACAGAGATCTGCCTGCCTCTGCCTCCCATGTACTGGTGTGCGTCACCACCGCCTGGCTCTAAAACTTAAAGTTCACTTACCAGCTAACTCTCCTGGTAAAAAAAAAATCATATAACTTACTAACCTGTTTTGGTTTGCTTTAGTTTACAGGCAGGGTCTTACTATGTAACCCAGACTAGCCTCCAATTTACTATGTAGCTTAGGCTAGCCTCATGGCAATTCTCTGCCTCAGCCTCCTCTGTGCTTTTATTTCAAACTGATTACCACAGAATAGTAATTGCCCCCACCCCACCCCCAATTCTGCCTGCAATCATCTTACAGCCCCCTGCTTGCTCATTTTGTCCCTTGGCAATGTTTCTCCCTCCCCATCCTCCTTCTTTAGGAGATTGTGTGTGTGTGTGTGTGTGTGTGTGTGTGTGTGTGTGTGTGTGCGCGCGCGCGCGCGCAGTTCATGTGTGTGCCTGTGAAGGCAATCCTCTTTCTTTAGAAGATATTGTCTGTGTGCAGTTCATGTATGTGCATGTGCCTGTGAAGGCAAGAGGTCCATGTCGGTGTCTTCCTCTATTGCTTTTCACCTTTATTTTTGAAACTGTTTCTCACTAAACCTTAAGCTATTGGATTGGGCTAGCTTGGCTAGCCAGAACCCTGAAAATCCTCCTGTCTTGCCTTTCCATCCCTGGGTTGACAGGTGTCCTCTGCTACACCTTGTTGGGGGTCAAAACTCGGGTCCTCATGCTTGTACAACAAGCCCTTTACCAACAGAACCATCTCCCAAGTCCTATAATAGAAGATCTTTGAATTTAGAAATAGAATTCTCCTCTACAAGGATTCCTGGCCTGGCTTATCAGGCAGGTTACCCATGTGTCACTAGAGATGAGGTGATCCTGTCTGATTCCTGGTACTCAGTCCTATTCCCAAAACCTTCTTAGTGACACATGTCCTGTCTCATCTCTTGCAGATCACACCAGCTTTATATGCATCTTCATTTTTAATAGAGCAAAGGTAGTGTTTTAATGTGGTAAGATATTATATGCAATACTTGGGATTGCAAAATTGACTGTTTGCATGGAGGAGACAATGTATGCATTCCAGCTTCAAAGGTTATAGAAAAATCATGTCCAAAGGGGATAAAAGAAGTCTTAAAAACCTCAGAAGAGCTTGGCGGTGGTGGTGCACGCCTTTAATCCCAGCACTTGGGAGGCAGAGGCAGGCAGATCTTTGTGAGTTCGAGGCCAGCCTGATCTACAGAGCGAGATCCAGGAAAGGCACAAAGCTACACAGAGAAACCCTGTCTCGAAAAACAAAAAAACAAAACAAACAAAGAAAAAAAAAACCTCAGAAGAAAATTTCAGAAAGTCTGGTACCTGGCATTTAGAAGGACAGTTTGATGAAGGCAATGCATCCCATGGCTTTAGCATAGACAATTTAAAAATCACTTTGATTTTCAATTTAAACTGGGTGTGGTGGCCCATACCTGTGATCCCAGTACTTCTCAGGCTGAGTCTAGAACCCTGTCTAAAAATGTTTTTATCATGAGCTAGGCCTGGATAGACACACTTTTAATCCCAGCACTGGGGAAGCAGAGACAGAAGGATCTCTGAATTTGAGGTCAATCTGGTCTACATAGTAAGTTCCAGGAGAGCCAGGCTACAGAAGTAAGTTATTAGTAGGAGATGGGAACAAAGTCAACAGCTATATGTCAGATTAGAAGGTAAGTTTTGCAAAGTCTTTAACATATACTTAGCTCTACTCCTGTGACTAATGCACATAATGTAAAAAAAAAAAAAAATGCAAACAACCGAATAAAAACTGCAGTAAACTAGCCAGCTGTGACATCCTGGTTAAGGTTGCAGCTTTTCTTCCCTTGTGTCTTCTAATGTCCTGTACTCTTGTCTCCCATGTTGTGCTCTTCTTTTCTTTTTACATACCATGTGTGTGGTCCTGGGGTTTTAAGATTACTGTTCCTCTACCTCCGTGCAGAACATGTAGAATGTAAGTACATCAGGGTTTGCTCAGTGCTGTAGGCCAATGACTTAAAACAATGATTGATACTAATATTTGCCTAGTAAAGCTTTTCCAAATGAAATGAGTGAACAGATAAATGAATGAACCTGAACAAGAGGAAGGCTTGTCTGGTGTAAAAGCTGTTTCTTTGTTTTAGATGTGTCTTCTTCTGTGGTATATGTGAGGTAAGCCGCTGAGCAGTCCACTACTGCACTGATCCCTAGAAAAAGGTCACTTCTCATCTGCTCACCCAAGTCTTGATTGCAAAAGAAAACCTACAAGACCCAGAGAAAGGAATTCCTTTCAGAAGATAATCTCGTAGTGAAAACTCATGTGATGGTCAGGCTCCTCTCTATATATTAACAAAATTCTATGTAGGCCAGCCTACCCCAATCCAGTTATAATTGTAATCAAATATCTCTCCATTTCTACCAATTGAATCATTTCCCCTGCATCTACTAAACCCATCATCTATGAACTCGATGGCTCAAAAAAAGTGAACTTTTTCATAAGAAAAAAAATGCATCCCTGTAGCCATATACTTATGTGTGAGCTGAGGATTAGTGTTCAGGTCTTCACACTTGTACAGCAAATAGTCTTACCGAATTAGCTCCCCAGTTCCCAAGTATATTTTACTAAATGCCCATGAATGAATTTCTAAATGAAACTCAGTCTTGTCAACTTTGTACTTTATGTATACTTTAATGTTTATATGAACAAATCTTAACTTTTGTGTTTTTCTCTTGCCCTCCCAGTTAATGTGGGTTGTGTGTAGCTGTGTGGAATTTGACTGTAAAAACTTGCTCTATAAATCTAACTTATGTTTCTGTTACAGCGATATATACAAATAAAGCTCCTGCAGCTATTCTTGTCAGTGTGCAGAGGAGTGCGCACATGCATTTCATAGGAACCACATCAGCAGGGGGAGAACTCTCCTTGTGGAATCTCACTAGGCCTGATACTGTCAGCATCTCAATTTCATGTGACCTGGCAGTGTGGGTGTGACCTGCCATTGACATCTTGACTCTTTCCTTGATGTCTAATTCATGTTTGTTATCTACTTTGGTTTCTTTTGTGAGTGGCTTTCCTGCTGAATTGTCTTTTCCTTACAGATTTCTGAGTTTTTAATACTTTAGTAGTAATTCCTGCTACTTATGATGCACATATAACTTCCCACTTCATTGCTTCTCATTGGAAATATTTGATACTGATTTTGATAGATGGAAATCTTCCATTTGGGGGTAGTTCAACTTATCGGTCCTTTATTTTTGTCAAATGCATGCTATATTTTAGTTGAGAACGTCCTTTGAAATCATGCTGATACTCTCTGTAAATATCTTCCAAAGACTTCCTAGGCCTTTCTCAGACAACCAGGCATTCGTTTGTCTACTGTTATAATGGTGTCTTGACATCTAGTTGAGCAATTCTTGTTACTCTTCCTCTCTTCCAAGATCTCTTTGCCCTTTGTATATTCAGGAGCCAGCTGTCAAGTTCGATACACTTGGAGTTTTCACTGGAATAACATTGCATTTGCAAATGTAAGAAGTGATGTTTTTATGATACCGAGTCTTTAGATTTAGGCACGAGTCTGTCTTCCCATTTGTTTAGATCATCTTTGTTTTCTAAAGCATGTCAGTATACTGCTTCTCTGTATATTTACATCACTGCCTCATAGAAATCTCATGAGCTCTTGCTGGCTCTAGGTGTCATTATTATTTAATGTTATTGCCAATGATATCATTCTTAAATTTGGATCATTTCTAACTGGTGTACGTAAGTATAATTGATTTTTGCATTTATCTATTTTAAATTCAGAGAACTTGCCAAACTCTCCTGTTAATTCAAGTGGTTTACTCTGAATATTTTTATATACATACCATCTACCAATAATGACAATGTGTTTCTTCTTTTTCAGTCTCTTTCCATTCTGCTTTCCCTTTTTCCTGACCTTGTATTGGTTAGAACTTCCAGGACAATGCTGAATAAAGATTCTGATCCCAGGTGTCCTTGTTTTTTTCTTGGTCTGCAAGATAAGACTTTTAACTTAGACTACTATTAAGTACAATTTTGCTGAAGGTTTGCAATGATATATTTTATGGTATTTTCTTAATATTTTAGATTGCTGAAAAAAATAATATATTTCAAAATGTCTTATATATTATACCTGATAGAGGGTTTTATTATGACATTTTCATATATGCATATAATATATTTTGATCATATTCATACCTCTTTCCCTCCTACTGATCCCACTTCCTCTTCCCAAATAATCCCTTTTCTGCTTTACCATCTACTTTCTTATTTTATTTTGTGACCCAGTGAGTTTCCTTGGGTTGCTTACAGGAGCATGGGCATCTTACCCAGTGGCTGTACCACTGAGGAAAGTGTCTTCCTTCCTCTGGAAATCATTGATTACTTACAGATCTTCAGAGAGGAACGGGGCCTTGTGAGTCTCTCCCTCTTCTCTGGCAGGATGCTGGCAGATCCAGTCTTGTGTAGTTCGAGCACAGGCAATCATAGCTTCCGAGTTCAAGAGTGCGAAGGCCATGTCATGCCTGAAGAGTAGTCTTCAGCATACTGCGCCACTTCCTTGGGCATTGACATTCTTCCTGCCCCTTCCACCCGTGTTTTCTGAACCTTAAAGGGATGATACCAGTGTCCCATTTAGGGCTGAGCATTCAAACAGCATTTATTCTCAGCACTTAGACTAGTCACATGACTACAGTTACCGCTGCATGCTTTGAAAAGAAGCTCCCCTGGTGAAAGCTTGACCTCACACTAGTCTATAAGTGTAAACATCGTGTTTCAAATGATGAGGTTTATTAAATACTGGTTCTGCATTTGAGATTCCCTTTTAATATGTAAGTGTTCAATAGATTTATTTCAGATTTTACCTAATCATTTATTTCTGGACTAAGCCATCTGGACCACAGTGCATATAGTCTTAGTCAGGGAGCTCATACTTTATTTAGGACTTTTGTGTCAGTGTTTAAAAGGGATATTAACTATTTTCCTTTCTCCTAGTGTCCTTAGGATTTGTATCATAATACAAATTAGGAAGCATACTTTCTGTTCTCTGGGAAAATTTACCCAAGATTGGAGTTATATTTTTAAAAAAATGGTTGGTAAAACTACCCAGTACAGCTGTCCTGAGTTTGGAGTGTTCTTTCTAACAGTTTGGCTGATACTTCCATTTCTTTGATGGTTATGAATTTAGTTAATTTTTTCTTTTCTTGTGTCTATTTTTCTAGCCATCTATTCCCTTAATTTTAAAACTATATTAGTGTAAAATTGTCCATGCTCTTTTTCATTCTGTTTTCACTTCTTTTACAGTAACGACCTCTGTCTTCCCAGCGCTGGTTATTTGTGTCTTTTATTTTTGTTCTTCATCATTTTCACTGAAGATTTTTCAAGTATATGAAAATTCTCAAAAGTTTGGGTTTCTCTGTACTCTATTTCATGTTGGTTTTGTATTTCATACATTTCTGGTCTCATTTTTAGTTCCTTTTAACATTTTTTGAAAAATTTATTTCCACATAGTTGCCTACTTAGTTCATGTAATTTTCTAGCCTTCTGCCTTACCTATTTCTTTAAGGTTTTCAATTTTTCTTTAATATCATTTGCTAACATACCACAAATTTGAAAATTTGAGTTATTTTCATTCTCATTTATGTAGAATGAATTTTCTCATTTAACTTTTTAGTTCATTCTTATTAAGGGTTTATTTTAAAATATTTTCAGTTTTACAACTTTGGGAGTATTTTTGTCGTTAATTTCTGACTTCATTATTTGGTACTTAGAGAACATATTCTGGGTATTTTTCATTTTTGCCATTTGTAAGAACTTATAGCCGTACTCTGTGGTCAGTTTTCTAAAGCATTTATAGTACTTGAAAAATGTATTTTGCAGTTTGGGAAAATACAATTCTGTGTTTCTGTTGCTTTTTAATATGATGTATCAGTAAGATTCTGCTATCATCTCTGGGTACCTTTATATTTAAAAGTCTTAAATTAGGTGATAAATGATGGAATAGAATAGTATTAAAGTTTAGATCAACTCTTACTACAATCTGCAGTGAGTATAAAATTTTTGCTAAGTCAGGCAACATTTAGCATTTCACTAAAGGATGTGTCTAGTTGCTAAGAATTTGGTTTGTGTCAAGTTCCAAAGCAAAGGAGAATTATAACTCTTTGAGTGATAGAAATATGATAATATATGAAATGTTCTATACTCAGTGGTCAGCCAAAACAGAACTAATAAAAAATCATCTTTAAGAAGGAATGTAAAAATCAAGAAATAATGAGAAAAGTTTCTGTTTCACACACACACACACACACACACACACACACACACACACACACACACACAAATCCTAAGGCTTTGTAGAATGTAAGGAAACAGATATATTACTTTCATGCTTAAGATATGATTGAAGTACATCAAGATTTGTGTAAATACCAGATAATAGGCAAGAGTGCTCCATTAAAGAGCTATGAAATCTGGCTACAATTTTTTTAGTGATTTCAATGTAATCCTATTTCCCGTGAACAGGAGTGAATTGAATTTACTCTAGAAAGAATGCTCAAGTGTAACTATAAATCTAGTCAAATTCTGCAAAGGGGATGGATATGGATGGTGAGATTTTGCATGCCAACTATCAGTGCTAAGTAATATAGAAATTAAAACAGGATAGTCACATAGATATGT